TTACCCCATCTCTTTCTCTACCTCATCTTTAAGGCCAATAACTCTTAAATTTGCCCTTTTGAGGTTATTTTCTAGATCTTGTAGCCATGTTTCATTCTTTATTCTTTTGTCTCTGACTGCATATTTTTAAATAGCCTGTCTTCAAACTCACTAATTCTTTGTTCTGCTTGATAAATTCTACTATTAAAAGATTCTGACTCATTCTTCAGTATGCCAATTGCATTTTTAAATCCAGAATTTCTGCTTGATTCTTTAAAATTATTTCAATCGTTTTGCTAAATGATAGAATTCTGAATTCTTTCTCTGTGTTATCTTTAATTTCTTTGAGTTTCCCCAAACCAGCTATTTTAAATTCTCTGTCTGAAAGGTAACGTATCTGTTTCTACAGGATTGGTCACTGGTGCTTTATGTAGTTCATTTAGTGAAATCATGTCTTCCTGGATGGTCTTGATGCTTGTGGATGTTCGTAGGTGTCTGGGCATTGAAGAGTTAGGTATTTATTGTAGTCTTCACAGTCTGGCCTTGTTTGTACTTTATTTTCTTGGGAAGGTTTTCCAGGTATTTGAAAAGGCTTGGGTGATGTGATCTAAGCCATATCTGCATTAGGGGCTCCCCAAGCCCAGTAACATTGTGGTTCTTGCAGACTCAACGAGGTACTGCCTTGGTGGTCTTGGGTAAGATCCAGAATTCTCTAGATTACCAGACAGAGACTCTTGTTCTCTTCCTTTACTTTCTCCCAAACAAATGGAGCTTCTTTCTATGCTGAGCCACCTGGAGCTGGGGATGGGATGACAAAGTAGCCCTGTGACCACCACCACTGGGACTGCACTGGGTGAAACCTGAAGCTAGCACAGCACTAGGTCTTGCTCAAGCCCTGTTGTAACCACTACCTGACTACTGTCTATATTTGTTCAAGGCCCTAGGGATCTACAATCAGCAGGTGGTGAAGCCAGCCAGGTGTCTGTTCTTTTCTTTTGTGCAGAGAGTTCCCTCAGGCCCCAGGCAGGTCCAGAGATGCTGTCTGGGAGCCAGAACTAGAGTCAAAAATCTTAAAAATCTACCTGATGTTTTATTGTAACATATTGAGAGTGGCTGAGCTAGCACTGAAGCCATGAAACCTTTTCCCACGCTTCCCTCCCTCTTCCACAGGCAAAGGAGTCTCACCTTTTGGCCACCACCACCAGGCCCATGGGGATTACTGCCAGGCTACTCCCACTGTTCACTTAAGGTCCAAGGGCTCTTCAGTTAGTTTGTGATTATTGCTGTCAGGCCTGGGACTCCCCTCTGCCCCAGGACAGGTATAGAAATGCCATCTAAGAGCCAAGGCCTAGAATCAGGGACCCTAAGAGTCCCTTAGTGCTCTGCCTCCTCATTGCTGAGTTGGTAAATAAGGTGTAATACTAAGTCCTCTTTACTTTTCCCTCTGCTTTTCTCAAGCAGAAGGAGTCCCTCACTGTGACCATCACATCTGAGAATGTGCTGAGTCTCACCTGAAGGTAGCACGTCTCAGGGTCTCACGCAAGATCCACAGAATACTACCTTGATATCACTGCTGGTTATTCAGGGCTCAAGGGCTGTTCAGTCAGCAGATGATGGATCCTGACAGGACAGGGTCCTTCCCTTCAAGGAAGTGGGTTCCCTTCTGGCCCAGGATATATCTAGAAATGTCATCTGGGTGCTAGGGCCTGGAATAGGGACCTCACGACACTGACTGGTACCCTATCCTACTGTGACTAAATTGGTATTTAAAGATGAAAAACAGAGTCCTTTTTACTCTTCCCTCTTCTCTCCTCAAGTAGAAGGAAGAGGTCTTTCTTGGAGCCATGAGCTACACCACTTGGGATTGGGGGAGAGGTGTCACAAGCACTCCCTTAGCTGCCCCAGCTGGTGTCTTAGTAGGTTGCATGCCCTCTAAATCGACTGGCTCTGAGCTCAGCTCAGCTAGGCTTGCCTAGGAGTTACAGTCCTTGTGGCCTAGGCTGCCTTTCAAGTTTACTTAGAACTCCAGAGCCCTTTAGCGCACAGTGGACAGGCTTGCCAAAACTCAAGATGCAACTGCTAGGATGGGTGATTTCCCTTTGGCTAGGGCAGGTCTAAATGCTCCCTCCATGAGTGGGCTTCAGCTGAGTTCAGCCTGGTTTTGCTTTCCACTGTGACAGGGAAGCACTGAGTTCAATGCAAAATCTGACAACCCCTGCACTCTCCCTCTCCCAAAGGCATCGATTCTCTGTGCCATGCAGCTGCTGGGGAGGGGCGGTGTCAGCAATTCAAGACTGTCTTTCCTACCTCTTCAGTGCCTCTTTCAGCAATGTGAAGTTAAAGTCTGGTACTATGAGTACTCACCTGGTTTTTGGTTATTTTGAAGATGCTTTTTTTAGTGTAGATAGTTGTAAAATTTGGTGTTCCTATGGGGAGGACGATCAGTAGAGACTTCTATTTGGCTGTCTTTCCCCACCTCTCTACCTAACTTTTATTACAATATATTGTTTTAATTTTTCTATTTCATATTAGTTATTGTTAATCTCTTAGGGTCCAATTTATCAGTTAAACTTTATCATAGGTGTGCATGTAAAAAGCATAGCATATGCAGGTTTGGTACTGTCCATATTTTCAGGCATTTACTAGGGGTCCTGGAATGTATCCCTGAGGGATCAGGGGGACTGCTGCATGTCTGTTGGCCTCCTTGTCTATGTGGCTGCTTTCCTTTGCCACCCAACTTTTGACCACCTTGTTGCATCGTTCATACTAGGATGTATATTCAGTGATGCTGCATTATAGGGTCTTAATCTTGTTTAGGACTTAGGCTCACAGATGCATGCTAGCATGGGTGATTAACCTTGCCTCACAGCTTATAAGTAACTGTGGGTCCCAGCTAGCCCAGGAAGGTCCCAGTTTATGCCTATTGTCTGATGGCATATGTATGAATGATGCCTGATTTCGCTATAGCTATTCTGGTTTGAAGTCACTTTGGATTTGGGGGCCTCCCCCATCCATTCCATGTTCACATGCTATTCCTTCCACCTCCCCTCCTGGCAGTTCTGGGGCCAGACTGACTTTGAGCATCAGCTCCAGGAATTGGGCTTACTCCCTGAAGGGACAGCAGCTATTTCTGGAAGATGTCCAACATTACAAGAGAACTGTTGTTAGCACTACCTAGTCAAAGCATGAGGCTGTCACCTTTGAAAAGCCCAAGGCAGCCTGAGGCAGGCAAAACATGGAGGCTTAATCCAGCAGATGTTCCAGGTGGCCAGCTAGCAGGTAACTGAACCTCAGACCCTAGGTTTGAGCTCAAGGTTCAGTTTCTGTCCCCTGTTGACAGAAGAAGTGGGGGAAGGACCAGGAACAACTCAGGGTGGCAGATACCAGAGATGGTCCTCAAGTACTGGCCAGAAACCCCTGGGCTTCCCCAGCAGCAAGGAAGGCTCCATTCTTAGGTCCTCAGAGCTTCAGTTAGAGCCTGAGATATGCCCTCACCTAAAGCCAGGTTTTATCCTCAAATCCAAGGAGAATTTGAGCCTACATACTTCGAGGCTGCAGCTGGGTGGGAGTCAGAGGAAGTTCAGTGTAGGCAGGACCTGACAGAAATGACTAAACAGATGACCCTGGAACCTATGGTGGGAAGATTGCCACCACAACTCCACATGACCACATGTTCATACCACCTGACAACTGCCTGAGGACACCCTGGGAGACATGGCCAGTCTTATCCCTTTACACAAGTCAGTCCCTGACACATCCTTCATAGACGACTCGCAGTATGAGTAACATTTCTGTTTGATAACTGACCAATCAATAATTCCTGGGGAGCATCAATGCCATCCCCAATATTCTGACACTTGAAGGATGCCACTCTTCTGCTCTTCCCAGCCCCATGTCCCCTGGTGAACACAATGTCTTGAGAAACCATTTTTCTGAAACCCCTCCTGTATTAGTTTTATGCTGCTAATAAAGACGTATCTAAGACTTGGGGAAAAAAAGAGGTTTAATTGGGCTTATAGTTCTACATAGCTGAGGAGGCCTCAGAATCATGGTGAGAAGTGAAAGCCACTTCTTACATGGTGATGGCAAGAGAAAATGAGGAAGCAAAAGCAGAAACGCCTGATAAACACATCAGATCTCGTGAGACTTATTCACTATCACAAGAATAACATGGGAAAGATCACCTCCATACTTCAGTTACCTCCCCCTAGTTCTCTCCAACAACACATTGGAATTCTGAGAGACACAATTCAAGTTAAGATTTGGGTGGGGACACAGCTAAACAATATCATTCTGCCCTTGGCTCCTCCAAATCTCATGTCCTCACATTTTTTTTTTTTTTTTAGATGGAGTCTCACTCTGTTACCCACACTAGAGTGCAGTTGTGTGATCTTGGTTCACTGCAACCTCCACCTCCCAGGTTCAAGAGATTCTCCGGCCTCAGCCTCCTGAAGAGCTGGAACTATATAAGTGCACACCAGCACACTCAGCTAACTTTTGTATTTTTAGTATAGATGGGGTTTCACCATGTTGGCCAGCCTGGTCTCAAACTCCTGACCTCAGGTGATCTGCCAACCTCAGTCTCCCAAAGTGCTGGGATTGCAGGCACGAGCCTCTGTGCCTGACCATGTCCTCACATTTCAAACCAAGCATGCCTTCCCAACAGTCCCCCAAAGTCTTAACTTGCTTCAGCATTAACCCAAAAGTCCACAGTCCAAAGTCTCATCTGAGACAAGGCAAATTCCTTCCACCTATGAGCCTGTAAAATCAAAAGCAAGCTAGTTATTTCCTGGACACAGTGGGGGTGCAGGTATTGGGTAAATACAGCTGTTCCCAATGGAAAAATTGGTCAAAACAAAGGGGTTACAGGGCCCATGCAGCTCCAAAATCCAGTGGGACAGATTTTAAAGCTCCAAAATGATCTCCTTTGACTCCAGGTCTCACACCCAGGTCATGTTGATGCAAAAGGTGGGTTCCCATGGTCTTGAGCAGCTCCCTAACTTCTTCCCCTCCAACTACAGGCAAGTCTAGAACTGCAGAAGATGTCAGCATGCCACCCCTGCATCAAGGAGTGGGAACCTCTGCCAACAACCTGGAGTTCAGCAACCCCTGCCCTGAGGCCCAGAAGAAGCTGCAGGAGCTGTGTCGCCACATGTGAGCACCTCAATGCTTGGGTCGGGGGAGGCAGGGGTTCTCAGAAAGCCCAGCCCTAGCTGGGAGCCCCTGCTTGTGCGTGAGTGGACAGTCACAGGAGTGTGAGACATGCCGCCTGGGAGCATGGGTTATGTGGTACTCCCCACAACAGTCACAGGTGCAGCGACCCTCACAGGCACACACACTCCTGTCCTTCCCTGCTCACCATCCTCCCTACAACATCACTGCAACCATGCAAGGAAGACGGGATTGATGCCTATTTTGTGGATGGGGAAACTGAGGCAGCCTAAGCAGGTATGTTGGTAAGGAATTCCCTGAGCTCATGCAGCTCAAGTGGTCTGCCTCCTGCCCCTGCCCAGTAATGCTCTCCACCTCCTCAGTGCCTTGCTGGGGACACTCCTTTGTGTAGTTCCTTGCAGTTAGGGCTCTTGTGCCCTGACTGTTTATTTGCTAGATGTTCTACAAGACAAACAAAAACCTCTGAAAACAAACCAAAAAGACCCTTGACGTGGGTGATTAGTGGTTTTTATCATTCTGTGGGTCCATCCCACAAGCCCTCACAATTTACTCAACATTTCTCTGAGGGCCCAGGTCATTGTCCGTAAAGGATTTAAGAGCCTGTTCACATCTATAGCTTAGTCATATATGTCTCCTGGGGTCACTGGGCCAGCCCATGGGGAGAGGGCAGCCACTCAGTTTGCCTCCCCACTGTGACACTCTGGAAGGAAATTCTGTTCTCCAAAACCTCAGGAGCTAGGGTGAGCAAGGTCTTCAAAACCCCAGGATCCTCCCAACCCTCTGGCAACTTCCACACACAGTCCCACTCTATAGGTCCTCACCCTCAGGCTCAGGTGGACATGAGGTAAGGGATGTTCTTAGAGATGCAGTGGGAACTCCCAGTTCTTCCAAAAACTACCTTTATGGACGAAGGAGCATGGGTTGGTGACATGTACTTTGGGGACGGGGGAATGGGATGGGGGCTTGGGCACTAAGGAGGGACTGTAGAGAGCATCCCTGGTGAGTGAGAACCAAGAGGCTGAAAATATGCTGGTCTCCTTCTCTGCAGAGAAGCCGAAAAGGCTGTGTGGAAAGTGAAGAATATCTCCAACCCCATGATCTTACGAAACTACAAGGCAAAGATGCCCTCTCATCTAACGTCGCCTCACAAAGGAGACTCTCAGACCCAGAGTTTACATTATCCTCCCACTGCGAGTGCTCAGACTCTCACCCCCACCCCTCAACCATCTTCTGCCCACCATCTTCTCTTTAGTCAGCAATCTCAAGAGGGGAAGATGCCCAAGAAGGCCTTTAAATTGCATTACACCTTCTATGATGGCTCCTCCTTTGTTTAGTATCCTTTTATTTGGTGCCACCATTTCGCCGCAGCTACTCAACCCCAGCAAAGTCCAGGACTTGACACAGCCTAAATATTTCCTTAGGCTTTTTAGTTATCAGAGAAGCCTGGTGTTGGGTCTCCTGGGTATTAAGAGTTTGTCTAGGTCAGACTTGGGATGTCAGAGGAGGAAGTAACAAATTTTAAGTTCAGTTCAGATCAACATGAACATACCAAACCCCAGCTTCCTGTGAGAAGCTTGTTAGCGCAGGCTGGGAATGCAAAGTCCCTGCCTTTGAGGACCTCTCAGGTGAGATGAGGTTAAAGACACAAAATAAATCATCTCCAATGGAGAGGAGGCCCTAAACAACTGGGAACCTTCATCTTTCTGTCCCTGGCTCAGTGGTTAAGCTCTGTGGTCCTTGCATACTTCACCCATCCACATCCTTGGAACCTGAGACCTCACCCCAAATGTGCTATTTCCTGGGCCATGACTGCTCTGCCCCTGAGGTCTGCCTGGGCTCATGAGCGTAGTGTGAGCTGGGTCCCAAGCTTGGGTGGGGGAGCGACAAAAGGAGACACATTTTCTCTTTGAGAATCTGATGAGAGTTATAGACTTTCTCTCTAGAAATGAGCACTTATATACACATGCCTGTAAGGTGTTAACTGATTGCAGGGCGTTTACGAACTTCCAAAGCCTGTCTTTGGATCTGGGTTTGAAAAGACAAATCTCTTTGGTGGGTGAGCCCTGAGGGCTGTGCATACCTAAGAGTGATTTGAGTCCAATTATTTTCTTCATTTGGAGATGTGTATCAAGTATCTATCATGTGCAAGGAATTCAGATAATGAAGTGAATGGATCATTTGTACTTCAGAGGGAGCAACTTTTTTTTTTTTAATTTTACTTTAGGTTCTGGGGTACAAGTGCAGGTCATGCAGGGTTGTTGCATAGGTGCATACTATATCCAGCATTTTTCCCCATGTTATCCCTCCCCACCCTCCCTACCGCCCACTGTCCCTTCCCTAGCCACCCCCCACAACTGCCCCCAGTGTGTGATGCTCCTCTCCCTAAGACCACATGTTCTCATAGTTCAACACCTGCCTGTGAGTGAGAACATGCAGTGTTTGGTTTTCTGTCCTTGTGTCAGTTTGCTGAGAATAATGGTTTCTAGATTCATCCAGGTCCCTGCAAAGGACATGAACTCATAGTTTTTTTATGGCTGCATGGTTTATATATGCCATATTTTCTTTGTCCAGTTTATCATTGATGGGCATTTGGATTGGTTCCAGGTCTTTGCTATTGTACACAGGGCTGCAGTGAACATATGTGTGCATGTATCTTTATAGTAGAACGACTTATAGTTCTTTGGGTATGTGCCCAGTAATGGGATTGCTGGGTCAAATGGAATTTCTATTTCTAGATCCTTGAGAAATCGCCACACTGTCTTCTACAATGGTTGAACTAATTTACACTCCCACCAACTATGTAAGAGTATTCCTGTTTCTCCACATCCTCTCCAGCATCTGTTGTCTCCAGATTTTTTTAGTGATCACCATTCTAACTAGCGTGAGATGGTATCTCGATGTAGTTTTGATTTGCATTTCTCTAATGACCAGGGATGATGAGCATTTTTTCATATGTTTGTTGGCGTCATATATGTCTTCTTTTGAAAAGTGTCTGTTCATATCCTTTGCCCACTTTTGAATAGGGTTGTTTGTTTTTTTCTTGTATATCTCTTTTAGTTCTTTGTAGATTCTGTATATTAGCCCTTTGTCAGATGCGTAGACTGCAAAAATTTTTCACATTCTGTTGGTTGCTGGTTCACTCTAATGATGGTTTCTTTTGCTGTACAGAAGCTCTGAATTTTAATTAGATCCCATGTGTCTATTTTGGCTTTCATTGCCATTGCTTTTGGTGTTTTAGTCATGAAGTTCTTGCCTATGCCTATGTCCTGGATGGTTTTGCCTACGTTTTCTTCTAGTGTTTTTATGGTGTTAGGTTTTATGTTTAAATCTTTAATCCATTTGGAGTTAATTTTACTGTAAGGTGTAAAGAAGGGGTCCAGTTTTAGCTTTCTGCACATGGTTAGCCCGTTTTCCCAACACCATTTATTAAACGTGGAGTCCTTTCTCCATTGCTTGTTTTTGTCAGGTTTGTCAAAGATCAGATGGTTGTGGATGTGTGGTGTTGCTTCTGAGGCCTCTGTTCTGTTCCATGGTCTATGTCTCTGTTTTGGTACCAGTACCATGCTGTTTTGATTACCATAGCCTTGTAGTATAGTTTGAAGTCTGGTAGTGTGATGCCTCCAGCTTTGTTCTTTTTGCTTAGGATTATCTTGGCTATGTGGGCTCTCTTGTGATTCCATATGATGTTTAAAGTGTTTTTTTTCCAGTTCTGTGAAGAAGATAATTGGTAGCTTGATGGGGAGAGCATTGAATCTATAAATTACTTTGGGCAGTATGGCCATTTTCACGATATTGATTCTTCCTAACCATGAGCATGGAATGTTTTCCATCTGTTTGTGTCCTCTCATTTCGTTGAGCAGTGGTTTGTAGTTCTCCTTGAAAAGGTCGTTTACATCCTTTGTTAGTTGTATTCCTAGGTATTTTATTCTCTTTGTAGCAATTGTGAATGGGAGTTTGCTCCTGATTTGGCTCTCTGTCTGTTATTGGTATATAGGAATGCTTGTGATGTCTGCACATTGATTTTGTATCCCGAGACTTTGCTGAAGTTGCTTATCAGATTGAGAAGATTTTGGGCTGAGATGATGGGGTATCCTAAATATACAATTGTGTCCTCTGCAAATAGAGACAGTTTGACTTCCTCCTTTCCTAATTAAATACCCTTTATTTCTTTTTCTTGCCTGATTGCTCTGGCTAGAACTTCCAATACTATATTGAAAAGGAGTAATGAGAGAGAGGGCACCCTTGTCTAGTGCCTGATTTCAAAGGGAATGCTTCCAGCTTTTGCCCATTCAATATGATATTGGCTGTAGGTTTGTCATTGTAGCCAAATGAATGAGACATCTATGAGCTGGTCAAGCTCTAGAACATGTTGGGTTTGGGCAACAGGACCCCCACAAAAACACAGGATACAAGGTGACTTCCTACCCAGACATTCTCTAACGGGAGCCCTCTTTTGCTTTCACCACCCAAATTCAAACTCCTTCTCTTCACTTTAGAAGGAGCAATTGAAGTTGCTCCATAGAGGGAGCAATTATAGTTTCCCTCTAGGGAGGAGCTAAAGTTAAAGTTCCCCTCTAGGAAGGAGCTAAAGTTAAAGTTCCCCTCTAGGGAGCAACTTTAATTGCTCCTTCTAAAGTGAAGAGGACTTTGAATTTGGGTGGTGAAAGCAAAAGAGGGCTCCCTTTAGAGAAGGGCCAAAAGCAGGCTCCCTTCCTACCCAAGGTGGTTAGGAAGTCACCTTGTATCCTGTGTTTTTGTGAGGGTCCTGTTGCTCAAACCCAACATATTCTAGAGCTTGACCAGCTCACAGATGGCTCATTCATTTGGCCACAAGAACTCTGAGGCCAGAGAGGGCAAAGCACTTATTCCGGGTTACGTGGTCTAGAGTTATGTAAAATGTCATGGATGGGAGAAGTGGTCATTTGTTTCTGCCCCTTTGCTGTAGAAATGGGAAAACTGAGATCCAAAGGCATGATATGACTGACTCTATGCCACAAAAGGAATTCTGTGGTTAAGCTAGGCCTGGGTTCAGGGGCTCCTTACCTCAATTTAGGGTCCTCTCTTGGGTCTGATTTTTATACCCAAGGATTATTTTCTCCTGCAGAGAACAGGGTAGAGGGTGATGGAAGTGGATCTCACTTTAATAATAAAATCACTGGGCACTCAAGATCCCCTGCTCCTCTTCTTGGAGGAGACAACGGGTCTCTGAGCTGTCTCAACCACTTTCACAAAGGCAAAGCCCCACAACCAGGCTCGCCTGGCAGCAGCCCCCTTGCTTCCTTTGGCCTCCTCTTGACTGAACTGGGAATTCAGGATTTAAGTGCTCTGTCAAAGAAGGCTTATTGTTTCTCAGACTGTAAATGAATCCATTCATCACACTCTGCTCAGCCCTGCCTGCAGCGCATCCTCCAGTATTGAACAGCTGACTCCTTCAAGAGCAGCTGCTGCTTGCAATGGCTTGTGCTCCACCCCCACTTCTTTTCTGACTCTTCGATGCATTTAATAGGATGATCTCCCTGAGCTTCTCATGAAGCTGTGTCTATGAATTAGTCTTCTACTGGGGCATCAGAAAGGAGGGTGGGCGTGTGTATTATAAGAACACAGTACCCTAGCCTGCAGGAATCTCTGTTTTCTCACTTGTCCCAGAATTCTGAGCACCCTCCCAACCCCCAACTTGTTTAAGAGAGCCAAAATGGTCTAAGAGACCCCCAGAACTTTTGGTCCATTGCTGCTGGCAATTTTTACTCACACCCCAGCAATGATCACATCTTGGCAAATAATGCTCTTCTCTTTGGGAGTCCTAAAAGACCAGGACTCTAGGCTCAGTTCTTTTTGGTGACCCTGCACAAGTCACCTCATCTCTGTGTCTCACTTCCCTTGATTATAAGATGAGGAAGTTGAATCCAGCGATCTTTAAGGAGAAATTCTGTGTTACTGTGTTCAAATAGAACACATGTGCACCTATCTGATCCTTCTCAAGTACAGAAAATGTTTGGAAAACACTTGTTTTACCTACTCTCTTCCATAAAACACTGGACTCAGCAGTTGACTCTGTTTTCATAGACATTGTTGGTCAAGCTCTCAGGCAAAAATGATACGTCTGCCCTGGGAATATCATAAAGCTCTAAGCTATAATTGGTTTGTACTGGGCAGCTTCAGACCTCAGACCCGTCTCAATGTTCTATTCATTCATTCATTCTACTGGATGTGAGTAGTATCTCACTATGGCTTTGACTTACATTTACCTTATGATTAATGGCATGGAGCATCTTTTTTTGTGTGTGTATGTTTGGTATATTTTCTTTGGAGAAATGTATATTGAAGTCCTTGATC